CGTTTGTTGATAGCTCAAAATTGGAAGAGTAAAATTCTACCTACAATGGAAGACTGGAGATTGAAAGTTTCGTACCTTGCTGAAATGGCAAAGATTTCGGCTTATTTGAAGAATTACTCAAATGAACAATTTTTATTAATATGGAGAAGATGGATTGTTTATATTCAAAAGAAGCACAGAGTGGTGGAATATAATTTAGGTTTTTAGTAAACTTGTTTTTCCTTTTTTTTAATATATATTTTACCTACTCATGTAGAATAATATACTTTGTGGAGTTAGAGATTTTAATATTTGTTTGCTTATATCTGAATATTATCCTGGGATTAGGTTTGGGAAGTCCGGGGGGTGGGTGGGTGGGGGGTGGGGTTTTTTTTTTTCCATATAGCATTGTGAAATATTTGTGATGTTTTTTTTTATGATGAAAATAATAAAATCTTATATTGAAAAAAAAATAGTTTCCTATCTCTGCAATGTAATTAAATTAATTATAGATATACTTAATATGAGTAAATCATATGAGTATCATTATTATGGTGATCCAAGTTTATGTTTCAGATGCAGAAGGAGTTAATTTTGACTACTTCCATGCCAGTGTGCAATACCTTGTCAATTAAGCACCATAAAAGATGTCGTATTCATTATAGGCAATTTCAAGGCTAAAGAATACTGAGTAGTGTAATGCAATAAATAAATAAAATATACAATGAATTTCTAAGAGGTGATTTAAGACCAGGGATAATTTTGTATTAGCAAAAGATTAGCGATTTTTTTCTTCACCGATCTTTAAAATATGCCCATTATTAATTTATTTTAGGCTGACATCATAGTAGCTAATCCTTACGTGAAATCTGGAGATGATCCCTACACCCTGCAGTATGGAGGTTGTGGGGTACCAGGAAGATACATTCATTTCACGCCAAAATTTCTGACAAATGACAATTTGCATGATGTTTATGGATCTCGAGGTAATATATTGTAATTAATTGGGTTGGTTTTTTTCATTCTCATTAATGAAACCTTCAATAGGCAGGGACTGAACAATAATCAACAAAATAAGAAAGTTCATGAAAAGTAAATGCCTAATCTTGCTCGGTCACTTCTTTCTAAAGGCAAAAGTTTAACAAAAGTTTGCATTTTAAAACGAACCATGCAGTCTCCAGCCTGAAACTATCATACTCTGGGTCTATTCACAGGATGGCCAGATTCAAAAGATGGCTGGGTGTCTGCATGTTTAGTAATCGGATAGAAAAGGAACTTTCAATTTTGTGCAGCAAGTCATCTATGCTTTACTTAATGAATTTCCCCTTTGGAGTTGCACATAGTTTTAAGTGTAGCTTCAATTTCAAATGGGATCACCATTAAATACCCACTAACAATGGTATGTCTACAGTTCCAACAGCATTTAAACACATACACATAACACCAACTTCTTACCAACTATTGTAAATTTAAAATATTGTATTGCAATTCCATTGTTTTATTTTTTCCTACAGGTAGAGTCTTTGTCCATGAGTGGGCTCATCTCAGATGGGGTGTCTTTGATGAATATAATTATGATGCTCCTTTCTATGTTACCAACGAAAAGAAAGTTGAGGCAACAAGGTATCTTCCTAGACTTATATTGACCTAATAGAATACAGTGTCTAGACTTCAGCACTTCATCAATTTTCTATCTACTTGTCTAGATCCAATTATTATCCAAATAATAATTTAGGTCACTGTCTTGATTTGTTATTTGTATATCCCTTTCAATTATTAAGCTATTAAGACATTCGTTTCTTTTATATATCCAGTGTAATATCATGGGAAATTTTCTTTATAATTAATTTAAAAAACTTATTTCAAAATTATCTGGGCGCTCAGTCCATTTGTTTTGCTGTTTATTCAAATAAACTTTTGTTTTAGTCCTTAAACTTATAGTTTGAAGATTTTCTTTCACTAAGGATTGAAGGAAATTCATCTGGTGCTATAAAACAAGTGAATTCCGAGGTTCCTAATAGCTGAAATGCAGTTAACAAGTAATTTCCAAAAGTGATTATAAAAGGAATCATGCAAACGTAATGTCCTTTCAAAGGGGTCCACTGGGATTTGAGCAAGATGGCTAACCATTCTTCTCCCAGAGTTCCACCAAGGACTATCATCTTGGGAGGACCAGATGTCTGGACCATTTTTGGGTGATCTCTTGTCTGTACAAGAATTTTCAAAGAGCTGTTCACCGCTCTTCATTCCGCCATGGTTGTTGGCTCTGCTTTTCTGGGTGCCATCTTCAGTTCTCCATTTCTTCCCTAGAAGTCCCTCCAGTACCAAAATTCATAATTGTCAATACTCATCCTATCCTGCTATTTCAAAGTCCAAGGTTGCAGATATTCTCTACTTAATATAAACATCATCTCCTGACGTGCATGAGAGACCAAGAATTACTTGAGCTTTAAGCTAAACTAGGAAGTTGAAAAACATCCTGGAACAAGGCAACAGCAAACCACTTTAGTACTCTTGCAAAGAAAATAAAATGGATATACCCCAAAAGTTATCAGAAGTCAAGCTCAATTTGAAACAAATATTCTCTTTTTATATTGATGTCATAATATTTCATTTGTAAATTATGTATATTTTTATCATATCATTTAGATGTTCAGCTAGTGTCACTGGTGTTTATATATTTCCAACTGGACCAGGAAACTACAGAGACTGCACATTCCTGGAGGACACTCAGATGTATGAACTGGGATGTCAATTTGTACCACATAAAACCCAAAGCACTCCAGTGTCGATAATGTATATGCAAAGTCTACCTTCTGTAAGTATAACTAATGTAAAGCATTTAATCTGATCCGATATTTGTCCTCCTGATTAATTCTTACTTTTATATTTTTAGGTTACTCTGTTCTGTAATGAAAGTAATCATAATATGGAAGCACCAAACCTGCAAAACAAAATCTGCAGCTATAAGAGTACGTGGGAAGTAATCATGAATTCCACTGACTTCGCCTCTTCATCTATAATAAATACTCCTCTACCTGACCCTACTTTCACCCTGATGCAAGCACGCGACAGAGTTGTCTGTTTGGTGCTTGATGTTTCGGGAAGCATGAGAGATGTAAGTGTAGTATTCGAAGATTCTTTTAATAGAAAACTTCAAAGTGATTTCTTATAGGAATACTGGGTTAGCTGCTAAGTCATTATTAATATTTAATCCCTTCTAACTAATACACGCTTCTTTTTGTAAACATTAGCATGGCTATTTATGACACTATAATAAAATTATAGTTCCTGAATTGTTCTGAAAAAGGGAAAGTTATCCAAGAGGATAGATATGATCTAAGATGTTATACAGGCCTTAGAAGCAGGGTTTTGTAAGACAGTTTGAAAGCAGGGAAGACGTCCATGCTGAATCCATACATCTGGTTTGTCTTGCCCTCTTCCTGTTCTGAAGCTGGCAGGAAATTGCTATCCCAAAAGCCCCACAGCACAACACTTAATGTCCAGTTGGAAAGATCTGTGGTGTGCTGCTGTCCATAAAGCAGTATGGAACATGGAACTTTGCAGCATTGCAATGATTGGTTCATTCCCTGACCGAGAATTTGTCTTCTCCAACATCATCCACTATTTGGAAAGCCTCCACCAACTGGCACATGCAATCCTCTGGGGTTACTTCATCGCTGCATTTTCTTTTTTTTCTTCTTTCTTATTGTATCTTTGTCCATCTACACTTTCAAAGGTAACTCTGGGTCATCCATCAACAGTTTGGATCATCAAGGCAGCAAGAAGTTATATTTTTATATCTTTTGGCACTGTCTTAATGGCCCTCTGCATTTTTTGCTGCTGGATAAGGATTTTCAAAGAGTGGTAGTTTAAGAAGGAAGTTTAGGTGTGGGGAATCAGTGTGGGAGCTGGAAACTCCCTTAAGAATATTACTTGAAGAAAGGAAGTGAGGAGCCGGGCTTCCCTAGTAATCACTGAAAAAGGAATTCCCAATGATATTGGCCTCAACCTATGACCACAACTGAGCCCAAAATTTCTGTTATGAAGACATTTGTTAAGTGAATATTGCCCCATTTTGCAACTTTTCTTGCCACAGTTGTTAATTGAATCACTGCAGTTGATAAGTTAGTAACCCAGTTGTTAAACCAATCTGGCTTCCCCATTGACTTTGCTTGTCAGAAGTTTGCAAAAGGTGATCACATGACCTTGGGACACAGCAAAGGTCATCAATATGAACCAGTTGCCAAGCACCCGAATGTTGATCACATGATCATGGGGATGGTGCAAAGGTCATAACTGTGAAAAAGGGTCATAAGTCACATTTTTCAGTGTCGTAACTTTGAAGAATCACCAAATGAACTGTTGTAAGTCGAGATCTGCCTGTACAAAAGCCAGGTCTTCTCCTCTTTAAGCCAGGGAAGCAATACACAATTTCAAAGTTTCATACTTTCTCATCCAACTAATCACAAGTTGACTAATTCATTTTTTAAAAAAGAAAAAATATAGGGGAGCCAGAGAAGGTAGGGTTTAAGTCTCTCCCAAGCCAATCAGTTCCAAATAGCATAAATGTTTAGTTACAGATTTTGAACAAGCTGTTAGAACTTTGAGATCAAGGTTGGATTAAGGCCAACTGTTGCTGCTTTTAAATTGATTTTATCATTTGGCCAAAACAAAGGCATTTGAAATGGTTGTTCAGGCAGTATTGACAACTGACAACTTTGTCACTCTTCCCCGTCCTCCCATCCCTTTTTCTTTCTTTGCAGTATGATCGCATTGCTCGTCTCAGGCAAGCTGCAGAAGTGTTCGTCCTACAAATCATTGAAACTGGTTCCTGGGTTGGAATTGTAACGTTTCACAGCAGTGCCAGCACTACGATTGGCTTGCAACAGATTGTCAGTGACAAAATACGGCAGAATCTTGTGAATAATTTGCCTATCACAGCTAATGGAGGGACTAATATTTGTGCTGGAGTGCGCCAAGGATTTAAGGTGAAAGAAAACATTATCCCATTACTTTTATTTATAGTTTTTTTTTCCCCTAGACATAAGTTGTATAGTGAGCTGGTGCAGGTGTTTTAAGAGAAAAATGAAGCAATTATATCATTGAATCATTGTAATTTTTTCAGCCTGATAAAGCTGGGTTGGCAGTATTCACAGCTTTAATAGATGCCTACTGAAATTAACACACACACACATGCATATTTTAAAATGACAAATCTCATTATCGCAGTGATCTTTTATGAAGATCTGATGGCAATTTGATCTCTTTTTTTATTTAAATTGCATTTATTATATTTATTTTGGGGAAAACTCCTGGACAGCATCCATGCCAAATTAAGATCAATCATCTCTCATCAGTGTGGAAATGAGGGACAAAAAGATGCCATTCTATCAGTGGGAGCTTCTCTTCCTAATTATTAAAAAATAATTAAAAGTAGAATTTCCATATTAATTTTTGAGAGGTAGACTGGCATTGCAATTCTTGTTGACTGGATTAGTCTGCAGGCCAGTTTCTGGATTCGCTTTGAAACACTTCTTACAATGGAGTTTCAGAATTTGAAAATATTTTTATTTTATAAACAGCTCCATGTACTCTTTTCAACTTTTAGTTCAGGGGTGTCAAACTGCCGGCCCATGGGCTGGCCGCGTCACGAATAAACCGTGCCCATCCCATTGCCGGCAATGGGGGAAAAGTTCCAATACGTCACGCGACGTCATGTGATGTCGCAAGTTTGACATGTCTGTTTTAGTTGTATACTACAGGCAACCCTTAACTTACAACCACAATTGGGAGCAGAACTTTTGTTGTAAGAAAGTTGTTAAGTGTCTCACGCCCAATTTTATGACTTTTTTGCCACAGTTGTTAAGCAAATCATTGCAGTTAAATGAGTTATGCGGTTGTTGAGTGAATTTGGTTTCTCCTACTGACTTTGATTGTCAGAAGCCAGCTGGGAGGATCTCAAATGGTGACCACATGACCCTGGGGTACTGCAACTGTCACAAATACAAGTTGGTTGCCAAGTGCCTGAATTCTGCTCACTTGACTGTGGGGATACTATGATGGTTATAAGTGTGAAGAACGAATATAAGTCACATTTTTCAATGCCGTTGTAACTTTGAACAGTCACTAAATGAATGGTTGTAAGTTGAGGACTACCTGTGGAAAGAAATTTTTCCTATAAAGAGAAGAGGAACATGCCTGCAAATGCAGATTTTATAAACCATAATTCCACAAGACAGTCTCTGAGGAATGGAAAGAAGAAAGTGTGAAGTCATCTCATCTCAAGCTTGAGCTGACCTCATTAATCATGACATAAAATGTATGCAGTGTGTTAGAACAGGGGTGCCCAACCCCCAGTCCATGGACCAGTAACAGGCCGTGGCATGCCAGCAACCAATCTGCACAAACAAGGAAAGCCCCATCCACAGGATGTAGGCAACACACAAAACCACACCCCCTCCGGTCCGTGGAAAAAAATCTCTCCATGTAACCAGTCCCTGGTGCCCCAAAGGTTGGGGACCTCTGTGTTAGAAAACACAGGAATGCTTATAGTATGATAGGAGGATACAGCAAGGGATGTGGTAGGAATATTTGTAGTATCAAAATTCCGGCACTTTTTTTCCAAAGTGTATTTCATATGAATCAAGTAGCTTAGTGTTGCTCTGCTTGGGACAGATTAATAGAGGTAGGGTTAGAGGGAAAAGAAGACAAAAAACCCAAACAGAATAACAAAGTAGAAAGACGTTTTTCATTAATCTGCTTGGAGAAGTTAGGACAGTGATGGCGAACCTTTTAGAGACCAAATGCCCAAACTGCAACCCAAAACGCACTTATCGGGTGCCGGGTGGACGTGGCCCATTGGGTGGGCATGGACAATTGGGTAGGTGTGGCCAATTGGGTGGGCATGGCCCATTGGGTGGTCGTGGCTGCAGTGGTAACGGCAGATTAGCTGGGACTAAAAAGTTCAATCAATCAATTCCAACTTTGCGAGATTTTTTTTCCCCACGAGAAGTTGAAATTGATTGATTGAACTTTTTTTTTTACACACAGTGGTGGAGGCCTAAAGCGAAAAGGTTTTATAAAACCCAGCTGAAGCCCTAGGACTGGGGTGATGGCGTGCATGCCCACAGAGAGGGCTCTGCATGCCACCTGTGGCACGCATGCCATAGGTTCGCCACCATGGTGTTAGGATATGGCAGATTTCTTTGCAATAATACTAGTTCTGCAACAGTGGCATCCATGGCAACAGGCTGAGTGTATGTGTATCAAACTGAAGAAAATAGCATACAACACAAAGGCCACCCCTCTTCTACATTTGTTGCAAATTAAACACACACTTAAAGGAAACAAAACTTACAACATTACAACATGACACACAACACCGCTCTCATCAGTGTAACACAAATTATAAGATTTTATGGATTTTGTCCTTCGGTAGACATTTTATATGGCAGTCCTGGCAACTACTAAAATGGAATTGCAGTGATGTACTGCTGAAAAGGAAAAAGAAAGATTCACATCAGAATAGAACTTTAGAATAACCAAAGCAATATTATACGGTACATCTTGTACGTTGTCTTGGTTCTAAGGCCAATTGAACAGATAGAGGAAAAACAGTGAAGGACGAAGGATTCATAGCGCATCACTCCACTGAGATTTATAATATATTTTCTCTCTTTCTTTTCTTCTGTCTCTCTCCCTTCTTTCTATTTCTGGCTCTAGGAAGTATCTAGTCTGGCTTTTATTTCATAGGTAATGATTTCTAAGGAATGCAGCACTACTTTATGGAAGTTGGGGAAATGTGCTGTAATTTTTTATTACAAATTATTTATAAAATTATTCTATGAATGTTGTCCAGCTCCTTCATTTTAAAGAGCATTCCGTGAGTTTTATACTGCATTCCTTGTTCTGCTAATATTTTATTTTATTTATTTATTTACAGGTGATTAGTTCAAAAGATGGAAATACTGAAGGGGGTGAAATTGTGCTCTTGACAGATGGAGAAGATTCAGGAATAGGATCTTGCTTTAGTGAAGTTAAAATTAGTGGATCAATAATTCACACCATTGCTTTGGGGCCAAGTGCTGCAAAAGAGCTAGAAATGCTGTCAACCATGACAGGTAAAGTAAGCTATATACTTTGAAAGGTCTCCAGTGTTTTTCAATAACAAATGGTGATTCAGAAAATGTGAGCTTATCCTCATAATCACTGTATGTCATGTATTCTAATTTCAGGTATTCTAAAATGATATTACAATAAGACCCAAAGAACACAGTTTCAGTGCCCAAACTGTATTAGTTCTGCTTCCTTGTCCCATTCTCATTGCTCCCCCTTGTCTTTTAGATCAGGGCTTTTCAACCTTTTCACCCATTGTACCACTTTTAGGAAATGGCAGCATCCGAGTACCACCAGTTGCCTAGCAAGGTGTCAAAAACTTGATGACCAAAAAAAAAAAAAGGAAAAAAGTGATAAAGTACAGATAGTCCTCGACTTACAACAGTTCACTTAGTGACTGTTCGAAGTTACAATGGCACTGAAAAAAGTGCCCCCCAAGCCATAGCCAAGCAAGACACCTGCCTGCCCGCTCAGCGGCACTCTTCCTCCTGTCCGAGGTTTTCATTGTTGTGAGCATTTCTGTTGAGGATTGGCAGCAGGGATGGGGTGGTGGGTGTTTGGTTTTTATTCCCCCTGTCTACTGGGTGGTTGCAGCAGGTTTTGGTTACTTCACATGACCCTGGGATACTGTGACCATCATAAATATGAATCAGTTGCCAAGCATCTGAATGTAAATCACAAGTCCCTGGAGATGCTGCAACATTCCAGCTGATTGGTGCTTCTTCAGGGCTCAGCAGAAGCACCAGGATCAGCGCCGAGCTCCAGCTGGAGCCTGGCGCTGATCCTGGTGCTTCCACTGAGCCCTGACAGCCCTGCAGCTCCAGCCATCTCTCACTCAGGCTTGTGCGGTGCTGCCACCGGTTCAGCTCATTCCCCTCCCCCATTACCACTACCTTTTCTAGGATGGTCGCATACCACCTACCAGGTGCCAATGTACCATACGTGGTACCCGTACCACTGGTTGAAAAGCCCTGTTTTAGATAATTTCTAAAATATGTTGTCCTGACTACACGTACAACACAACAGGCTTCCCACTTGATTATGAAGAGAGCAGTGAAGAAAGGAATAAGGTCCTAAGTCTTCCTAAACATCATCGTCTCAAGTTTAAATAACAAACTCATTGGTATACCACAGGGATAATCAAACTTGTCTGAAAACAGACCTGTGCCTCCCAATTATGAATGCAAAAAGTCATCCCAAATATCCTGAGATCACCAAACTTTGCACAAACTCATTAACCTTATGCTGCAGTCTTGTGGCAATCTCACCTAATTCCTTAATTTTCATTTAACTGAAAGGAGAGTCTGTATTTCCAGGGGGAAAATGGCAAATTGACAAAGGCTCTGCTAAAAGCGGAGCCAACAACTGCAGTAGAATGCAGAGGCGACTAATAAACCAGCTCTTTGTAATTTCTCTCCAGATAAGGAGAGGAATTGAGATTACCCACAAGTGCTCCAGACAATCGGGTCTTTACAATGAGACTGCAGAATTGTAGCCTCTGGCAGGTTTAGAGTTCTGGGAAACAAGGGAATAGACATCTTGCTCAAACCATGATTTGTGCCTTCTAAAGGACATTTGGTACACATACTTCGTTTTTGAAAATTGCTTGTTAACTGCTTTTCGGTTATTAGGAATCTTTGGATTGACAGATTTTATAGCATTGGGTGAATTTCTTTCAATCCACAGTGAAAGAAGATTTAATTACAAGTTTAGGGACTTATTTTTTGGGGGGGAATGAACAGCAAAAGGGTATTTTGTTTTTGAAAAGTTACAAATAAGAGTTCATACAACTTTGAAGTAAGATTTTGGAATTAGTGATAACAATCCTTCCATGGGAAAATGCTTTTGTTTTGAGTTCTATTTGAAAAGAAAACCATGACAGGATGACTTTGAAGGTTGGGTACTAGAGGGGAGCATTATTACACTTAAAGGAGAAGAACATTTGACTTTCTAATTGAGAATGGAGGATTTTTTTTGTAACACTGGATATATTGAAGAATATTTATGAACAATGGGCTCAGAAGTTAATTTTAAGAGTGTTTGCCCCTGTGTATAGACTATGTTTCAAAGATGTTATGAAAGAGGAACAAGTTTTAACTGACAAGATTGAGGCTGAATTGAAAAGGGATTTAAAATGACAGACTGCAAGAATGATATGGAAAATGATATTCCATTGGACACAAAGAAACCGGCTGATACTTTAACAATTAAAAAGAGACAAATAACAAACCAAGAGAGTGACCTGGATAATTTTCCTATATTGGATTTACAAAAGAGGCTTGTTAAAGTCTTGAACAATTTTGTGAGAAGGGATAAAAAAATGAAAAGAAATCAAACTCTAGAACTTTTATGTAATATTTACTGTGATTTTTATTATTGCCTGTTCACCGCCCTGAGTCCCGTAAGGGAGATAGGGCGGTATATAAATTTAAATAATAAATAAATAAATAAACTTGATTTGAAGATGAAGATCAAGATTGTTAAAAGGAAGGAATATAATATTGGGTTATTTGAACCAAGTTAAAATAGATATGTATGTTTTTATCTCCAGTAACTCCCTAATGGATTTTTGCTGATCAAGCCTCAATGACAAGCCTTTAGGGCTTGTGTATAAATAAAAGATTGGATATGGGAAGAAGAGATCATTTGTTTTATTTTAACAGGAGGCAATAAATTATTAAAATTATTTATAGTTTTGATGAAGGGGTCATTTCTTTATATATTTCCTTTTTTATTATATTCTTATTTTTTGTTTCTTTCCTATTTTTCTTTCTATTTTTGCACTTTTTTCATTCTTTATATTTTTTAGTTTGTTTTAGTTTTTATCTTTTTAATTGTAGCTTTTAATAAATTACTTTTTTAACAAAAATGAGATGGTCTGCAAATGACATTTGGATTTTTGCTAGTGCTGCATTACTTATCCCTAATGTAAACACTGAAACTAGCTTTAGGCATAATGCAAATATTTTAGTGAAACTAACAGATTATCTCCATCTTAATTTAGGGGGATTAAAATTAGCTGCTTTTGATAGTTTGGATCCCAATGGCCTCATTGATTCTTTCAGTGGAATTTCATCAGAAAATGGAGATATTTTTCATCAGTCAATTCAGGTATTTGAAAGCTATTTATTTATTTTTTTAAAGCATACATTACCCAACTGTCAACAACACTGGATGATTAGTAGCTAGTAGGGTTTATACTTTCTCAAATCCAGTTGGCCCTTCCTTTGACCATTCCTTTTGAATGGTTTGTAAATGGAAGCTATTTCTATCAATCTGATGATGGCTAATTTGTCAAATGCCTTGTTTCTAGAAATTCTCTTGCATGCTTAGATTTGGTTTGATCTAAAATATTTACATATTCCCAGTTGAAATTGTGATGGAACTTCTCTGTGTCTGGTGAAATTAAAGACATTTAATCACGTCTTCTGATTACCAATTGACATTCATGGATGCATTCTGCCAATCTTCTGCCTGTTTGTTCTTCATAGTGATTTTCATAGTCTTTATATTGTATAACTCCCATTTTTCATGTTTGGCTGCTGATTTTTGGGTTTGTGTAAGGATGCTTTGGAGTTATTGTGTTACTTTTTAGGCTAACAAAACCAATGATATTGGTTAGTATTTTCTTGGAAATGTTAGTACATTTCTTATATTTCCCAGTGTCTTACAACAATTATTTAGAAAGGTTTTTTTTTAACTTTCTCATAATTTATTGTCTACCTTACTGCCACTGTTGTCCCTTTTATTGCTTGATTATCACTGCTTGCATTATCATTAATTTTGCATTGCACTTTTTTATTATTCCTAATCATCTGATTAAACATATAGGTTTATGTATGCTTAGCTGCAGCATTCTGATAACTATATGCATGTGAATGCAGATGTTTGTATGCCTGTGTGTGTCAATTGTTTCTATGGTTTGTTCTCCACTTATGACCACCATTGAGCCCAAAATTTATGTTACTAAGCAAGACAGTTGTTAAATGAATGTTGCCCCATTTTACGACCTTTCTTGTCATAGTTGTTGCGAATCACTGCAGTTGAAGTTAGTAACATGGTAATTAAGTGAATCTAGCTTCCCCATTAATTTTGCTTGTCAGAAAGTCACAAAAGCTTATCACATAACCCCAGGACACTGCAACTGTCATAAATATGAACCAGTTGCCAAGTATCTGATTTTGATTATGTGACCATGGGATATTGCAACAGTCATAAATGTGAAAAATGGTCATGAATCACTTTTTTCAATGTTATTTAACTTCAGACGGTCACTAAATCAAGTACTGTATGTCAAGGACTATCTGTAGACCAAAGTACGCTTTTATTATTTATTATAGTAATAAAAATATGCAATTACCTATAAAAATTACAAAGATAGATGATAGGTAGGTAGGTAGGTAGGTAGGTAGGTAGGTAGGTAGGTAGATAGATAGATAGATAGATAGATAGATAGATAGATAGATAGATAGATAGATAGATAGATAGATAGATAGATAGATAGATAGATAGATAGATAGATAGATAGAGATATGGTTTGTTGTAATATCTGGGAGAGATGCTGCTATGTCAAGTGGTTGTTGCACTAGAAATACACAACAATATCAACGTTTATTCTTTAACCTTATACCAGTGATGGTGAACCTTTTAGAGACTGAGTGCCCAAACTGCAACCCAAAACCCACTTATGCATTGTTGAATGCTGGGTGGGAGTGGCCCATTGGGTGGGCATGGCTGCGGTGGTAACGGCAGACTGGGTGGAACTAAAAAGTTCAATCAATCAATTCCAACTTTGCAAGATCTTTTTTCCCCCCACGAGTTGAAATTGATTGATTGAACCTTTTTTTGTGTGTGACACGGCGGCGGAGGCCTAAAGTGAAAAGGTTTTATAAAACCCAGCTGAAGGCCTAGGACTGGGGAGACGGCACGCGTGCCCACAGAGAGAGCTCTGCGTGCCGCCTCTGGCACCCGTGCCATAGGTTCGCCACCACTGCCTTATACTGTATAGCTTTGTACTCGATGTTCTTAACTATGAAGTTTACCTTAGATAATATATTCCCAAAGTAATTAAATACATTTTATTACAATTGTAATATTTTCTTGCTATGTCATAATTTCTTTCTTTTTTTTTCACTTATAGATTGAAAGTAAAAGTCAGAAAGTTGATGCCGGCAATTTTCTTAATGGTATTGTATCCATCGATCACACTGTAGGAAATGACACTTTTTTTGTACTTACATGGAGTGTAGCCCATCCTAAACCTGGAATTCTTCTGACGGATCCAAAAGGAAAAAGATATAATCTTAATGATTTTGAAGTTGACAATACCAATCTCAAAACTGCTCGACTTAAGATTAATGGGACTGCCAAGGTAAATTATCTCAGCTTTCTTTCAATCAAGGAAACTGTATTATCATTAAAGTTATAATTTTAACATTCCTTTTAGTACATAGACAAACAGGTCTACTTCAGAGTGCAAGCAGTATACTAATAAAGTTTGGAATACTTTAAACTAAATTAGTACAATTACTTTATCTGCTGAAGCGCCATAGGATGGTAGATGAGACAAAGAAATAATCAAGTCTCTAAAAGGAGTGGCCTGGTGTTTCAAATTTCTCTTTGCTGCAACAGTTAGCTGGTGCCATTTATTTGCCCATTCATTCCATTTTGACAGTTGGGAGAAGTCATACTCTACTAACAACTTATTTCCACTGTAGTTGAAAACTGAAAATGTATTTTACCATGTTTATTGGAATTTTAGATACTACAGCTGCAGTACATAGAACACATTGGATTGATGAAGACTTTCTTGAAGGGAGTCATCATATGGGCACTTTTGTGCAGCCCCAAGATGGCATTTCATTAAGCATAATATTCTGGCAAAAGCCTGGTCTTCTATGGACTTTCTTCAAATATACAGTCAATTGATATTAATGATATTGTTAATTGTAAGCAGTTGCACCATCATTAAATCTTTCACACATACAGTGTGAGCCACAATCATGAAATTATGGGACCTTAGTTCATATGAAAGCCAATATGTGTACAACTGTGTGCAAAAATACCAGGGAGTGATATTTGAAAGCTGCAGAACTAAAATTGAAGACTTCACAAGTGATCATGAATGGGCTTCTGTTGTCAAACTCTTTAAAATTCCTGCATATACAGATGCCTATTTATTCTTATGAAATACTGCAGGGGTCCCCAATCTGTGAGCCACAGCCCACTACCAGGCCACAGCCTATTGGCCACCGGGCCACATGGGTGGCTGGCAGATGCACATGTGTGCATGCGCATAGCCCTACTTGCACGAGCATTGTGAGCATCATGGGTGTTCATGGCCCCACTCAAGGGAGCATCGCTGTGAGTGTTGCGGGCTTTCACGGCCCCATTTGTGTCATAGGCACTCGTGGCCCCACTCATACAAGTGCCCCACTCACACAAGCAACGGGTGTTCATGCATGCCCGCACGCGCTCATGCGTTCATCCCCCACAAAACCATCCTTTCCCCCCGTCCTCCCGCTACGGGCCGCCAACCTCGAAAAGTTGGGGAATTCTGAAATATAGTATGCAGAGAAATCAAAACTGCAGAGTGAATATTTAATAAAATTTTACTTCCAAATTTTGATCTGCAGGCAGGAGACTGGACTTATGCAATTTATAATGCACACTCAGTGGCTCAAGTGCTATCAATCACTGTAACTTCTCGAGCAGCATCTCTATCGAAACCTCCAGTAACTGTGAAGTCCTACATAAGCAGTGATGCAAATGCTTTTCCCAATCCAATAATTATTTATGCAGAAGTCAGTCAAGGACTTTTGCCAGTACTTGGTGCAAAAGTTACAGCCACAATTGAATCAAATACTGCAATTGAGGATCTAGAGCTTTTGGATAAAGGTTCTGGTAAGTGTATTGGAAGAATGCTTGCATTATATATTTTTCATTGACCTCTCTACATAGTATTCCAGAGATATGAACTTACCCTCTCAGATTTGTCTTACTACTGTTATTCTAAGATCATAAATAGTGATAGTGATATTTGGCCACTGTGTTATTGTGTCTGTTGAGTTCCTTGCACCATTGCAGCTGCTTGCCTGGAAAAAAAATGAACTGTGTTGGATTAGGTATGATAGGCTTGTTTTGGCTAGTGTGATTCTGCTCTGCTCTCCTTCTGTTGTATTGCTTTATCACACCCTTCTTAGCTTGATGTAACAAAATCTTCACCCCAAGATATAAGTAGCCAGTCGCTTAGATTATCAGCAACATTTCTACATTAATTTGGTTCAATTGTACACTTAACAAAAAATCTACACTTAACAAAAATATGATTATACAGGCCTGTTAGTTTGAAGTTTGGAATATATCTCCAGTGGTGGGATTGTGAACAACCGGTTCTCTGTGTGGATGCCGTTTCCGGAAGGCCATTCTGGTCCTGGGCAACAAAAAATTAGCTACCGGTTCTTCTGAACCGGTGCGAACTGGCTGAATCCCCCCACTGTATATCTCTCATGATTAGTGTTTACAGACATTTATATGCAAAAATATCATGCATGGCATATACCATCTGTATGATATCTCTGTCAGAGAAATTATATTCTGATAAACCTTTAGTTATTTTATCTTTGGCTCTGAGTGGCTCACAACAGTACTCAAAATTAGCCCACCATCCCTCAAATTTAGGAACTCATCAATTATGGTCCCTACTGTTTCAGGAAATCTATGCCAATAACATTGGTGTTTAGAATCTAAGACCCAAGAATTACAAAATGGAGCCATTTTGACCAACTCCAAACCTATAACAGCTATTCTTTCGTTCTGAATATAAATAACATAGAATTAAACATTTACTTCTATAAAAACAGGAATACAACTTATTTTGGGTGTCTTTTCTCCATTATGCAGGTTTTTAATTTTTAATATTTTTGTTTCAAGGTGCAGATATTATCAAGAACGATGGAATCTACTCAAGATACTTCACATCATTCAAAGACGATGGTAGATACAGCATAAAGGTGCATGTCCAAGGGGGAGATAGGACCAGCCGACAAACTCGCCAAAGGAATCACGCTCTATATGTGCCAGGCTATGTCGACAATGGTAAAATTGATGAAAGAACAATAATTGATTGAATGATTGATTAATTACATGCCATCAAGTTGTTTTGGGCTCCCGGTAACCACATAGATTTTCTCCATGATCTATCACAAAAACCTAACTTGATCTTTCAAATTTTCCATCACCACAATAACTGAGTCCATCGACCTTGGTCCTGGTCATCTTCTTCTCTTTACTTCTATCTTTCCCAGTATTAGAGCCTCTTCCAGAGAGCTAGGTGATTGCATAATGAGTCTGAAGTAGAATAATTTGAGTCTGGGGTCATTTGAGAACTCTGAATTGATTTGTTTGATGATCCATTTGTTTGTCCGCAGTATTCTTCAACATCAGAGTTCAAATACTCTTCCCATCTTGCTCCTTCAAAGTCCAACTTTCACTTCTGTAGAGTATTACAGGGAATATCATGATTTTTTAAAATATAATTTTATTAAATATTTTGATACTTAATACAGAATAGAATAGAAAGAATAAAAAGTGCAGAAAAGACACATATATATATATGCTTAAATGATTAGCTCAATTTAAAATTAATAATTAGATAATGAAAATATTAACAAAAACAGGAAGATAGAGAGGAAAAAATGGGAACAATGTAATATATACATACATACATACATACAAACAATAGTATAAAAATGATTTGCCATTCTTCTTTGTAGACAACTGAAATAAACATCAGAATAATGATAAAGTTTGGAGTTTCTGCTGAATGACTTTCTTAAAAACTTTTTACAATAGGTGAAATAAAAATGAATGCACCAAGACCAGAAGCTAGTGACAATGATACCCAAACAAACCTTGGAAAATTCAGCAGAATTGCTTCAGGAGGTTCTTTTGTAATGTCAGGAGTTCCTGTAAATCCTGCTCCTGGAAACTCTTCAGATTTCTTTCCTCCATCTCGAATCACTGACCTTGACGCAAAACTCAATGATGAGGATGAATTCCTTTTGTCATGGACTGCTCCTGGAAATGATTATGATAAAGGAAAAGGTAACATTTTCTTTCCTATGTTGGGCAGAAGAAATAATGCTAAAGGAGGAACAAAATACCACTTGTTACTAGCTCCCAAACTTAATTCTTTATGGAATTTTCCTTACCAGATAAAATTAGGTGAATGCAATCTAAATTATCACACACTCACAGTGCTTTTGGTTTAAATGAGATGCATTTGCCTTAGAATATGCCCCAGAACCTTCTTTGAGTGGTTGCAAAGATTTCCCTGACAAAGATGTCTGTTCCCAAGTGTTGTGGAGAATTTGTAAGGACAGAGTCCTTTGTCTTAATGTCTCTTTGAATATTTTCGTTTTTTTGTTTTTTGCAGCTGAAAAATATGAAATAAAAATGAGTGAAAATCCTGTGGAATTAAGAGATACTTTTCAAAGTGCTGCTTCTGTCAACACATCCAATTTGAAACCTGATGTTGCTGGGGCCAGACAGTCATTTCAGCATAAGATGGAAAATTTCAAAAAAGAAAATGGCACCGCAGTTTACTTTGCCATTCGTGCCAATGATGGCACCAATTTTGGGGAAGTATCTAATATAGCAAGAGCAGTTGTAGTTCTTCCTTCACTGGTCCCTACTCCTCCCACACCAACCAATCCTTCTAGCTCTGCTCCTCCCACGGCTCCTTATAATATAACAACCACTTCTAGTGTGACAGCTCCCAATGATGGAATGCATGTGATAAATATTGTGCCTCTAATTCTTATCATAGTATGCATTACTCTAATTATTATTTGTGCTTGTATATGTATAACTATTTGTGTTTTACATAAGCAAAAAAAGGCAAATCCTGAAACTGCAATGTAAGAAGAAGTAAGAATTCAGAACTATAGACTGGAAGGAGAAATAAAGACAATCTGTACTAGTTACATAGACTTCTAACAACAATATTTAGAAGACCAGATTTCTGCAATATCATTGATTTTAATTTCTAAAAGGAAAAGAAATTGAATCACTCTCCTCAGCCTATAGAGGAAGAGGTGAGTCAACATAAAAACAAGTTAGAAAGACTTATCAGCCTTGTATTTTAAATTTTATAAGCCACCCGGAGTCACCTACTATTTGGGGGGAAATATATACATTTGTTTAATAAATAAATACAGAAACAAATAATTTCCCCATACTTTCATTACTCAAAGGTGAATTTCCTGTGCAAATACCCCATTTACCTATTCTTCCTTTTACCTTTACTGTAAATTTAACATAAAGCCAATCTGAAATTGTTTAGCAACCTCAATGGCAGCACTAATTTCATCTACACTGATTTACAAGAGTAAGTTTTATGTTAGGTTTAGGTTACAATGATATTACCATAATAGAGTCTGATTCAGCTTTACACTGAAGTTTTTTTTTTCTGCGATGAGAAAGATTAAATTAAATTAACTTTCTGCAGGCAGAATTTAAATGGGTTGAACATGTTGAATGGTTAAAGTGGCAACTTTTTAGGAATTACGGTTTTTACAGTCCAAGGAATTTGAAAGCATCAAAGTGGGGATTTGGGGTGAAATAATTATAGAACAATAGGATTTTCACCCAATTTAGTAAAATTGCCAAATACCCAATCATTATATTGCACCATAATGTTCTATACTACAACGTTAACTATAGTTGAAGATAGCTTACCAATTCTAATGGCTATCAACAGGGACCAAATTGCTTCTCCTAAATATTAGTAAAATAAGTATCAAGACTCATGACAAAATAATGTTTTTCACACATGGTAAGGAGAGATTTACAAGAATCATATGAGACAAAAAAATATTGTTCCATTTGAACAATTTTATTTATTTTCATTTGTTTATTCAATGTATACAGTCTCAGTTCCATGAATCTGGCAGCTAACCAGGATTTTTTAAAAAATAACAAAAAAATCACTAAATAATATATAGAGTGGCCTAGAAAACCAGCCAACTCATCAATCAACATTTGCTCCAGTCTTTCTGAAGTTTAATAAAGAAGAAATTTAATTGATTCCCAGACTTGTTCACCATTGTGTGTGCAACTGCTACATTAAATAGCTTTTGGTGCATTTGTGAAGTGTATTGAACTGTTTTGTTTTTGTAGGTATAATTCAAAATTATGGGCGACATGAAAATGGATGGGGATTTAATAATGTACTTATGACTGCCATCCTGACTTTTCTGATACCCCCTGGAAGATACCCCTGTATTTCTGTCTTGAATCCCCAATTTCTCCTTTGAAAATAACACCCTTGAATTTGATGGGCCAAAATATTTTCTGACTTCTCGTTGACAGGCTTATCGGACACCATTGCACGTAGTCCTCGACTTACGACCACAATTGAGCCCAACATTTATGTTGCTAAGTGAGACATTTGTTAAGTGAGTTTTGCCCCATTTTATGACTTTCCTTGCCACAGTTGTTAAGTGAATCACTGCAGATGTTCAATTAGTAGCACACTTATTAACTGAATCTGGCTTACCCATTGACTTTACTTTAAGAAGGTCTCAAAAGCTGGTCACATGACCCCACTGCAACCGTATAAATATGAGTTAGTTGCCAAGTATCTGAATTTTGTTCACGTGACATGGGAATGCTACAATGGTTGTGTGAAAAATGATCATAAGTCACTTTTTTTCAATGCCTTTGTAATTTCAGTCAGTAAATGAACTGTTGTAAGTCAAGGACTACCTGTCCAGCAACACACCAATTCCCTCTGAGAAAACTATATACAAGTCTTTATCTGAGGTCTCCATCCCCACCAGGATTCATTTTTATGCCCTCTTGATCATGCTTTATCAAATACTTTTTTGTCAGTCCTAGTGAAGAGTAATCTTCAAGCAAGTAGTTCATCATCTAGATCAGGGGTGTCAAACTGCTGGCCCACGGGCCGGATGTGTCATGCAGAAACCGCACCCACCCCATTGCCAGCAATGGCAAAACTGTCCTGATACCTTGCGCGACGTCATGTGACGTCACGGGTTTGACATTTCTGATCTAGATAATTGACAACATGATTAAATGCTTTAAGAGAAAAAAATGAGTGAGACAAGTCTATTCTGGAGAAAATTTGGGGCAGTGGTTAAGGGCTGGATTAGAAATGGGGAGATGCAGATTTACGTCAATCCTCAATCATAAAAGCTCATTGAGTGACTTTGGGCCAATTATTTTCTCAGCCCAACCTACCTCATAGGGTTATTATTTTGGAGAACAAATAGAGGCGGCTGTGCTATGCATTCTACCTCGAGTTCCTGAAGAAAAGGCAGGATATAAATCTAAGAAACAATACTGCCTAAAATATCTTCTAAATTTATCTTTTTCTGGGAAACCTTTGGAAGAAGGCATCTGCCAGTGAGATCTTCAGTGGGTTCTCTGTCAGGTTGCAATAATCAGTTTTGGCGTGCTTCAAGATACACTGCAAGAAAAACATCAAGAAATGAACCCCAGCAACCAACACAGATAGAACCTGGAATTAAAGAAAAAAAATGCTGATTTTGCAACGAAGTCTTCATGTGGGAATGCTCAAATTCTAAATTAGAAGTCACTATTAAAAGTTTAGGGGGGCATGGTGGCAGAGGAGTTAAAATCTGGGCTTGTTGACCAGAGGGTTGGTAGTTCAAGATCTAAGTACCATAGTGACAGAGGGAATTTCCATTACTTGCCCCAGTTCCTGCCAATCTAGCAGTTTGAATCATGTAAATGCAAATAAATAGGTACCACTTCAGTGGAAAGTTAACAGCGTTCCATGTGCCTTCAGCATAGAATCATGTTAGCCATATGACCATGGAAGTGTCTTTGGACAATGCTGGCTCCCTCGGCTATGAATCGGAGATGAACATTGCCCCCAAGAGTCAGACAAGATTGGCAGGGGAAACCTTTATTTTTATTAAACATTTAGCATTTCTCTCCTTCCTCTTGGAGATAATGACTCACTTTTGAAATTATCTTTCCCTCAGATGGGAAACTTGAGAAAAATAAAAGGCCTCTTTCCAGTTACATTTCTCTGAGCTAAGGACTTTCTACTTTCCAGGTGGTTAATTAGTTTATGACAGAAGTAGTTTGGTGCAATGATTAAATTATTAGGCTAGAAGCCAGGGGACCCTGAGTTCTAGTGCTGACCGAGGCAGAAAACCAGCTGGGTGACCTTGGGCCAGTCATCTCTCTCAGCCCCAGAAAGGAGGCAACTGCCAACCACTTCCAAATCTTGCCAAGAAAACTGCACGCAGTCATTAGGAGTCAAGACTGACTGAAAGAAAAAAATGGTTTGAGAATCTGGAGGCCAGGGAGGAGACAGGCCAATAGAAACAGAGGCATTATTTTACGGAGCCCTAACCCTGGAACTCTTCCCATCTAGCAGCTGGAATCCAACTTTCAAGCCAAATGGGAGTGACATTTTCAGGCTGTGTAAAGTAAGAATACAGTCCCTCTCTCACTGCTTGCTCTGAGTGCAGCAAAGCAATGCTAGGACAGATCATTCGCCCTTCCTAACAGTGGGTCTCCTGTGGGAAAACTAGGTCAGTTTACATTTTGCTTACAGTTTTCCCCAAATGTTCCTGTCTGTTTTCCTCCTTCCCCTGCCCTTGTTAATTCATTCTTCTTAGGAGATAAGGTTGACCCAGCTATTACCGTAGACAGGGGAAGCCAGCCACCTGCCTGCTTCGAGCTCCCTGTATATATACTTTATATTTTTTCATTTAGAGTTTCTAAGATTACATCTAGTAGAACTGTCTGCAGTTTCAATTTAATATTTATTTTTAGTCACCACATGTAGTAAAACATTTCTTCTTTATTGTGGGATTTCTGACATTTTTTTGCTATATGCTTTGGCTATCTTAGCAATCATCGTTGCATCATGTTATCATCTAAATCTAAAGCAGAGGTTCCCAACTCCCGGATCTCAGACTAGGACTGCTCCGCAACCCTTAGGAACACAGGAGCCTTCTCCCTTTGTGGTTGCACCTGCCAAACTCAAGGCTGGTCTGTAAAGGAGGCCTGCTCCTGGAAGGCTCCCTGAGGCTCCCTGGAACAATCAAAGGGCCATTTCAAGTGGGTTCAGTTTGTGATCTGTTCTGCAATCAGCACTTGCTCATGTTTTTGATACCTTAATTGAGTTCCTCTACCTCCTTTTAGCAACAATATAGTCCATTTTATTTCTATATGCTCCATCTGATGATGTCCTTCTATAGATGCATTATTCTGGTTGTTTCAAGACAGTGTTAGCTATGAAGAAATCATAATGGCAGAAGTTGATAACATCTGTTTTTATTATAAATGACAGCTTGTGGCTTAGTGTCATACATAAACTCATTTTCAATTCACTTTTCTTGATGAAATTGAGCTACTGTTAAATATTGGTGTGAATTTATCTTGTAACTCCCCAAAATGCTAAATTGATTTCTTGCAGTATGCTGACATCTAGTGGATTTACAATGTTATTTTTATTTTATTTATATATATCCTGTCTGATAGATTCTAGTTGCTCTAATACCATTTTTTGCATTAGTGGAAATGTGCTGGTGAAACTTTCACCATGTGCATCACTGACTACAGCTCGATTTTTGGGAAAGAAGTCCAAGTGTGAATGTAGAAAATGGATCGTCAGTGACATGCTGCACTTCATAGAGCTGTAGGCTGTAAGAAGTTTGTCAACCAGTTGAACGTAATTTGGTACTCAGTGATTGCCAAGAAAATTCTCAATGCCATCCTTGAATGCTTTCCAGGCAATTTTCTCGGACTTCACTAACAGATTTTCGAATCGCTTGTCACTGATGATGTATCTGAACCGTGAACCAAGAAAAATGCCTTTGTTAATCTTGGAATTAGTTATTCTTGGAAACATGTGTCTCAAATAACAAAAACCTTCACCTT